CACCAGTCAAGGCTTTTCTAATCTTTTCTATTAGTTTTCGATTGCATTTCCCTGTTGATTCGAGCTCCTTCCCCCATGGCCCATCCTCAGTCTCGTCCAGCAAGCGGCCGGTCAATCATGGAGCCACCGTGTAAAATCTCGTTGTCTCAGGTGAGACGTGAAAACGATGAAGAGGCTGAATTGAGAGGTACAAATGACCTTAATCATGAATCGGCCCAAGAAATCCGAAAGACTCCAGAACATCAAAAAGACCTTCAAGAATGCAAGAAGTCAAGAAACGAACATACTGTGCAGGGCATTAGAGATGGACACTCTAGGTTAGACTTAGAGATCTCAAAGGGGAGTCTGGTAGGTCTCTACGACCAAACCCAAGCGACAAATCTTATATAAATCAAAGGGTTCCAGGCCCATTGAGATTCTTTACTCTGCTTGGAATATCATCTTAACTTCCCTCACGCTTTTCATCCACCTTTGGTACTCTGGCTCGATGTGCACCACTATAGTCGCTGACGTCTTTGGAGTATAGGTCACCCATGGTGTCCCCCATCGTAAACCATTCATGTATATGGTAAACCACGTTAGCATCTCATTCGCACCCATCATCTCATCAACTTACAAACTTAGATCTCTAGCGGATCCCCATCATACCGTCCCTGGTTTTTAACCTGGACATCCTAAGAAGATTGGCAGTTCCAAAGGCCAACCACCTTGATGAACAGTCTCCACTTTGCTCTGCGACTTAGAACAATCACTTTGCAGCACTTGTTGCTTGGGATGTTCCACCTTTCACTTTCACCACTTTCACAGCGATTCAGCCCATCTGCCGGGAGAGGCACCTCATTGCGCAATCGTGAGGGGAGCAAAGGTCGCAAGGCGGGCGATCTGCAATTCATCCTGAAGGCGTCTTCGAAACACAAAGCGTTTGGGCCAATAACATAACCATCTGAAAACAAGTCATACAACAATAGAGGAATTCAAGGCCTTCTTCACCTACCTGGCACTGGAAACCAAAGTAAAGGAAGGCATGTCAAATCACCACAATGCCTTGCAAGAAGAACTTCACATCGAGCACTGGCACTGCATTCATATCGCCTGTCAATTTGCTTCATGGATCTATTGAATCCAGGCCGATGTGACACCGGTCTACCTGCAGCTGATCGCCCCCCCCTGTCTACGACCTGAGATCATCGGCCTTCAGCGCATCTTCCGAAACCGCGGCCCAGCGCCACACCGCGCAAATCACCGATCTAGGCGCCCCTGGGCAGTTCGGGGGAACATCTGCGTGAGCTCCACCCTTGTCGGTCAGGTGTGGCTGACTTGGGTGGAGCCACGTGGAAGTTGCCATCTGTTCAAAGCGACTCGGTTTGATGTGTTGGAAGTGATCATGGATCGTTTCAACAAGCTAAGGACCAGGATCAGCGCGTGTCTCGGCCAAAGAGGCCCCAAGTTTTCCAAGTATAGCACACACAAAAGACCCTCTGAACATGGTTCTTTGAGGCTTTGAACTGTGCTGGACTATAGCATAGGCCAAAGACCCTGCGAGAAACCCAGGATTGCGTGGACCCAGATCAACAAATGGTCGTCAGTACCGGATGACTCCAAACAGCTCTTCCTTTCCCAACCGAAACCACGGCCCAAGAACAGCAGGATAAACTCTCCAAGCAATACCTATTCATATACTTACTGTATCATATAACTGCAATCATACAACCTCTACAACCTGGAACTGCGACTGAGTCGCCCAGTGGACGAGGTGTGTGGTTGGCTCAGTCACCCGGCATCGAGCCAAGCGGAGCTGCGCAACTGGCGAACGCCGGGTGCGCTGCCAGCCGCCAGCACACCACGAAGCAGGATGGATGTGGGGCTGAATAAGCAGCGGCTACGGTGGATCTTGTGCAGTTTCAACTGGAGATCTTGGCGATCTTGGCGGATTCTCAAAACGAACATGCAAAAACTCAAGGAAGGCCAACAGCTGGGCAATGCTCGGGCAACTTTTTTTT